TTTTCCCAATTTGAAGTAGTTTTGTAAGATTTTTTTTAGTTTAAAAATAAAAGTTCTTTGCAAGGAACATTCGGTCTTGATGGTGAAAGTTTTATTTTTGTATATTTTTTCTATTGAGATAGGATTGAGTATTGGACTTTTAAAATTATGATATGATTGAGAATATTTACCATGAGAACGTTCTGATTTTTAGTTTAGTAAATATTATAATTAACATGAATATTCACTTTACTTCTTGTACATTTTAACCTATCATTAGTGTATGTTATAAAACCGATAGTACTTTTAAAAGTACTAATTATGAAACATTAAATAAAATTAAAACCGTTGTTCCTTTTCAGTTACATTTATTAATATCGTTATTGTATCTTTATGTAGTATTAATTTATTAAGAAGGTTACATTTATGTTTTACTTTAAAGTATAAAATACAATTTATTTACTTTTCCTTTTTAAAGTCTGTAATACCGAATGTTCTTTTAAGAGAAAACATTTTTTTATTATTTTTCACCTAAAATAAGCTCTATGCACTATTATATAGGGCCCCTGAAAATATGAATGCAAAAGAAAATCTCTAACATAGAAATTTTTTTACTCGAAGTGCTCGGCGTTTACTACTTCAAATTATTCGTTCTTCTGAAAGCACATTCGGCGATACTTAGAAGTCGACACAATTTACTCTTCGGTCTTACGAGGTTAAACTATCAATGCTTCAACGTATTAAAAATATTTTTAAAATCACTGCAGGGATGCTTTCTTTTTAATTTTCTCATTAAGAAAAATATTCAACCATAAAATATGACAACAATCAAGAATAAAAAATATCAACGAAGATGAACAAGCAAGTTTGTTAAGTAGTTTTGAGTAGAAGTATTTCATCACAATACAATAATAAATAAAAGATCTACTTGTAAAATTGTTAAAATAAAACTTATCAAGTTTACTAAAAACACTGAATAAAGATAATATTCGCAAAATGCAATGATAGAATCATCAATACACTGAGTATTGTGGCTTCATATCTTCATAAGTTTTTTACGATTTTATATTATTTAGTTAATGTAATAAAATCTAATAAGAAACACCAGCTCTGCTTAACAAGGTTAATTTGATAGTAATTCAATAATTATGAAGAATGATAAAAATTCAAACAAATTGTCACTACGCGTACCGGCATACGTATTGTTTGTAAACAAATAACACATGATCGAAAGGCCGGCAACAAGAGATTTTTGTCTTACGGAGTCCGTATTTATCTGGCTAGCTAACCGCAAAAAATCAGCTCTCTACGTCGCATATTCAGCGAGAAAATCGAATTTAAGAGAGCACGGGTATCGAAACCGTATCATTTAATACCATGTGGCAGGTACGCGCCAAATTTTGACAATACGCTATTTTCGCTAAAATCCGGTGGCGCGTGAATTTTATAGGTTTTTTATAATATTTTGCCCTAGATTTCGAAGCTTCCCAGCTTGAAAATAGCTTAAATTTGAAGATATTCGCAAAAATAACACAGTTTCGGACAAATTAAAACGCCTCTAGCGGTGAGCGTATGAAACAAAAACATAATGGCCGACCACACAGTAGTTTCAATGACTGCACATTAAATGCGCAAAATACTTACACTTTCCTCCTCTTTTTCCATTCCAGAGGGCATCTGAGGTACTGCACGATTAATCGCCGAGTAGTCCGGCAAATCCGGAAGCTCCTCGGCGAGATATATGGGCATTGGTTTCGACGCATCCAGGGCCCTCGCCCTAAACGAGAGCTTCGACATTTTGTTGACAGAACAAAACACGCTAGCGTCGACACTAAAATGCACTAATAAAACACTTTATAGCTCCTCCAGGAGGTCCCAAAGGACCGTAAACTACACTTTGCACACTCTAGTTCGTTCCCATGATTAATTTTTGCACGCACTCAGTCACAATTAATGAAAAACAATAACGAAACTTTACATATTGAGCGTACTTTACAGAAAGCCATCATGGCGGCTTTCCGTTTGGCGGACGACCATGACCAACTTCCACCTAGCACGACGTGCGCGGGAAGGAAACACGCGGGGACGATTCCGCCATTTTTGTTACTGTCAAATGACTTATGTTTTTTGACAATATTTTAACAACTTAATTACCTTTAGTATTTTATTTTAGTTATTTACAAACTAATATTTCGTATTTTTTGCGATTAATTAAAGTTTGATAGTAAAATAAACACTGTACTGACTCACATGTACGGTAGTTAACCATAGACAATATAGTACTCGTAGTCGTTCCGTTCTACGTGTGTTAACTAAAATGATTTAGTAAATATATTTTATTTATTTGCTTTTATTTATCAGATATAGCTAAAGTATGTAAAATATTAAATTAAATTGTTTTATTTCCTTTTTCGACTTAATTTTTTTTGACAGACCTTTAATTTTTTTTAACCATAGACATTTCTCTAGTGATGCAAGTTTTTATGAATCTAATAATTATTTCCTGAATCATAATCCATAATATTAAATCTCCGAAACTATCCACCGCGCCGCGCCTGTGTAGTCAGGTTCTACTACAGCTTGCATGACCGCCAAGAAAAACCCAACCTGTGAAGGTCAAGTTTGTCCCGGGGAATGCTAAACTGTCATTGGACCCGCAACGAAATTAATCAGAAGAACATAGGAGGAGTTAGAAGTTAAGATTCGACTTATCCCTCCAACTTCATTGCAAAGCGCATGACAATTTACCTTATCGACGATATTGTGGGTCATGGCAGAATAGCTAGAAGACCTCGGCACAATGCTCGAAGACCTTAATCGAGTTACCCAACAGGTACTTAGGCCTTCGGATGAATACTTGGGATGAATACGGACGAAACGAAGCTTATATCGAATTTCCATATTGCGCCCTACTCAGTTTCGGTTGGGAACTCGATTCTTGAGATTGTTGATTAGTTTGTCCGAAAACGATTCAGGCAGGTAGGTTTAATTTCGAGAAAATCGTCGAATCTGATTCGGCTCTGTGCAGCGGTCGGGAAAGAACGCATCTTGTCGTTCAAAATACCTCTGTGCCTAAAGACGAGTCTAAAATCAGTGTGTTACCACTATTGGTGGCATACGGTTCGGAATAATCGTGACCTCTCACTATAACTATAGGCCCTAAAAATAAGCTCAAAGTTGCACAGCATACTATGGAGAGGACTATGCTCAGTGTTTCTTTACGAGACCGAAACAAGAATGAGGAGATCCATAAACGACTAAAGTCGCAGACATAGCCCGATGGTTAAGCAAGCTGAAGTGGCAATAGGTAGCAGGGCATTGTACGCAGAACTGATGGCGATGGGGCAGCAAGGTCCTGGAGTTGAGGCCACGTTCTGAAAAGCGCAGCATACGACGTCCACCCATAAGGTTGACCGACAACCTCATAAAGGTAGTACGAGCTGGATGCTCACCGCAACCAACCGGTCATTATGGAAATCATTGGGAAAAACATCATATTATGTTCAGTAGTGGATATCCTTGGCTGAAATAACAAGTAATGAGTTCTGGAAGGCATTGATAGACAAATAAAAGAAGATTGATGAATAATTCAGTAATAAAAAAAATAAAACGCATAGCCGTCTCGTCGTTCGAGTCTCTATCAAAAGATTCAGTATTGCTTGACTAGGACACAAATAGGTAACCAGTTCATGAATAATCATGATTTTTGAAGAAAAACATCTATAGTGAGGTATCTCCAAACAGAATCATAATCGAATTTAGTGGCTTAATAAGTGCAGTTTCATTGACCATACCTATAATTTAAAAAAAAACAAGAGCAGCTGCAGCACGTCAAGGACGCGGGAAATTCAAACTACAAATTAAAATAGTGAAACTTTTCCGAGTTACCACACGCAGACAAGATTTTATAGTAAATAGATTATCTTAAATAATATGAGTATTTGTTTAGAGAGGCGTAGTAATGAAAATACACTCTTCACTCACATTTTGCATTGAACTGTCCGCCACGTTGAACTTACAGTGGTTTTAACTGTTCTTCTTTCATTATTATTAATGAACTATCGTCCTACTGATACTCACTCTACTCAAATTGTACTCAACTCTTTACTTTGAAAGATAAACTAAAATACTAGCAGATGTTTGAATAATATTATTATTCAAATACATCTCTCCTATGTGCTTAGATGTAAACTGAGAACCACTGTACTGTACTGTACTGCAACAAGACTTTTTTTTATTATGTAGCAGGGCACTAACTAAGAACTCAGGTGGTGGGTGGTCCACAACTATTTCTACACATTTCTGTACCTCAAGCACGAAAAACTGTCGTCTTCGAATCATTTGCTTATTCGACAAAATTCGATACCCAATCTTCGAATTCAACGATATCGTGTCTAAATTAGTTTCGTGGTTGGTATTATTATTCTGTGCTATAAGTTCACATTTACGTCACGTTCACAGGGGCGCTGTTTTTATTTTCATCCCAACTAATATTATAAATGCGAAAGTAACTCTGTCCGTCTGTTACGCTTTCCCGCTTAAACCTCGCAACCGATTTTGATGAAATTTGGCATAGAGATAGTTTGAGTCCCGGGAAAGAACATAGGATAGTTTTTATCCCGGTTTTTGAAACAGGGACGCGCGCGATAAAGTTTTTCTGTGACAGACAAAAATCCACGCGGGCGAAGCCGCGGGCGGAAAGCTAGTACTAAATCTTTTGATGGCGATTCGAAGTCGAAAGTTTTTCGTGCAGAGGTACTGTACTGTTCCTCCAAATAGTGTCCGCTATAACCTCTACCGATGTCCTCGAAGGATGTGAGGAAGATGATTTCTGGGAAATCCTTGATAGACAGGAACTTCTTAAAGAGTCTGGCATACTTTTTATTCGGTATCCATAATAATGATGTTGGGGGTGGGGGTTTGAGTAGAAAAAAACATTTTAACATACAAAATTTACTAAAACTATATTTCCAAGTAAAATTATGTAATTCCAATGACTAATTATTTGCATTATTATCTAAAAATCAATAATTATAGTTACAATATATTCAGCAGATATACATTTTAGGATTATATCTATGGATTTTGTTTTTAAGCGAGTGAAGGATTTTAGTATATTTTTTGTGATGGCTACACTTTGGAAATGCCTCAGATAAATATTTATGAAAGGATCACATAGTGTATAATTATTCGCTTTAAAAATATTTGTTTCGGAGTTCTATTGACCAAAATATAAGTTTAATTGATTGTTGTTTATGTTTTTTTAACAAAATTATTTTCATATTCTATCATTAAAGTTTATTTTTTAAGTTAATTTTAAGATTTAATTTGATTTTTAAAATGAAGTTGTAGTTATTTAAACTGATTCAAATTGCGTGGTATAATATTAAACAACCTGTTAATTAACCATTAAATAAAAATTGTTTGGATAAAAAAGAGAATTATTATTTCATTATTTGTCTCCTCGGTCAGGAAAAGTTTAAAATGTAGTAGCAATATATTTCTGGTACTTAAAAATTTATAAAATACATAAATATGCCATAATAATTAACACTTGTACCTGACAAGTATTACGAACATCAACCAATATCAAATACATAACATAGGTATTACAATAAATTTTAACAAATATAAATACAATAAGAACATTGTCAATTGCATTCCAAAGTGTAAACTGTAAATTCATAAGCATATTTTTTGTAAATTTTGCTAATTTTTAATAATTCGGTTATTTCATATTCTTACCGGCTACATAACGAAATTAATAATTACTATGCGCGAATATGTATGTCATTTGAGAAAGATAGATTTCCATATTCCAGTCATTACACTTAGTAGTCGAGTTATAGGACATAATTTTTATAAATAGAAGATATTTTGAACTACCAAGTATAGCAAGCAGATAAAGAGGTAAAAAATCGATAGATTGCAATACTACAGATTCAAACTTAACTGATATCAATATAATTTATACCAACTTACTCTAGATTTCACGGTCACCCTATGCAAAAGAATAAATTGAACTTCTTTTTAATTTACCTTTTTCAAATTACATACAAACCAGCGCATATTTTGTTAGACATATTCAAAGTGATGTACACCTAAAAAGTGCAATAATCTATTTCATATTTCAGTAAAAGTGTGAGCAAAACAGCAAGATTTAGAATAAGGTATAGATTAATACTTAATTACTTGATGTCGTCAAATATAATAATAAATAAGGAATGTACAAAATCGTATTCCACTATTTTTAGTGTTAGGCCAGCTACACACTTGCGATTAAAAAATTTTATTGGCTTTAGAAATAGTCAAATTAAGATCGCTCGGAACAAAACAGAGGTGATTGCATACTTCTGCTGGTAATCCACTGATAAATTGAAACTATAATAGAAATAACGCAAATATGTAACCAGCCTTAAATGCCAATATATTCTACAAGGAAAAAATGTACACTTCAACATAATAATTTATTCAGACAATCCATAATTTCAAATACAAAAACAAATGACAATAGAAACGGTGTAAAAATACGATTTTTTATATTCCATTTGAGTATCATAATTATTTATTAAAAAAACGCGAAGTACAGTTGGCTAGAAAAATATGTGCAAATATTATTATTTCAGACCTTCAAATAAATGAATATGTATATTTTTCTAGCCAATTGTGCTGTCTCCCTCTTCACAGGTATACCTCACTCTACTACTCCATCGTAAATACAATCAATTCGTTAGAACAATATCGCCGTGCTTTTTGTCAAATGGATTTTACATACCATCGCCCAATACACAATCATATTTACAATGTTGCCAGCCTAAAAATGTTATAAATGCGCAGTGTTGCCACAGTATATTATTATTTTATTAACAGTCTAATAGAATGTCTAAAGAATTTACAAAACCACATGACCGCTTTTTCAGATGCCATTATTATAAATTCGATGTTTACAAGCATAATATATTATTTTTATTAACATGTATAGTATAAATAAGGTTTAACAATGAGAATGGGAGGGGTAACATTAATAAAATTCAGGGAAAATACAATATTTCAAGCTCATGTTGTGTTTGTAGATTTTTAACACGTTTTCGTCAAATATTTGTATATTTATGTACAATTTGTTCGCAAAGCAATTTATAATAGACAGTACAGTCCACAGCAAATAAATGTTCTTCAATTTAGAGTTCAAAATATTTTTTTACAGTTTATATTAGGTTAACATGCTGGTACATAATTTTTTACACAGAACTTTATGCAAGTTACGATTTTGATTGATATTTTTTGAATTTTGTCTTTTGATTTTCAAATTTTTTTATACAAATAGTCGAAATTCCTCAAAATGGCCGCAAAGCTCTCATAATTTTAAAGCGTGATAAATGCTTAGTTCATTTTGGACAGCAAAATACATTTAATTTACATTAACAAGTACATATCTTAATTCATAGAAGCTTAGACACATTTGCGTATGACTGTACATGTATTTTAGACCACAATTTTACATTTACATTTTAAAAGTGTTTAATTTCAGCAATATACGTGTTTTGGTTAGGTTAGGTTACCGCGACCTTATGGTGAGAGAGAATTTGGAAAATTCATAACAGTAAGTTAGGTAGTTCATTTTATATGGAAACACTTCGAATAATTCTTCAGTTACTTGTTCAAATATCTAATCTGCCATGCAATCAGATCGCGATAGTTCACTGTCACTTGTCTATGGCTCCACAGTTTATTGTTACTTCACTGCGATTCCATAGTCCCCTGTCACTGGTCTATGCTATAGTACCACAGTATACTGTCACTGTTGTCTATGGTTCAATTTCAATCACCTAATTCCTTACAAAGTCTTTTTTAACTCTATAAACACAGTTTTTGTGGTACTAAAGTCCGTTGTCTATGGTCTCGCTTGTCTGTGGCTCAACTTGAAACATTAATCTACAAAGCACTTTAAAAACACTGGTTTGGTAGTTGTCTCATCTACTCTCGGTTTTCTATGGTCTTGCTAGTCTATGGTATTGTCTGTGGCTCAATTACAAACACATATAATCTAAAAAGTCCTTTAAAACACAGTTTTTGTGGTTGTATAGTATGTCTCTTCTTTTGTATAGTCTTCTCTTGGTTGTCTATGGTGTCTCTAGTCTATGGTGTTGTCTGTGGCTCAATTTGAATCACTTTACCTAAACTTCTTAAAACAAACACGTATAATCTACAAAGTCCTTTAAAAACACAGTTTTTGTGGTTGTATAGTCTTCTCTCGGTTGTCTATGGTGTCGCTTGTCTATGTGAATCAATTTGAATCACTCAACTCGCTACTCTTTAAAAACACAGATTTTAGTCTTCTTTCCGTTGTTTATGGTTGTATCGTCTATGGTGTCGTCTGTGGCTCAATTACAAACATGTTTAATCTAAAAAGCTCTTTTTAAACAGTTTTTGTGGTACTATAGTCTTCTGTCCATTGTCTATGGTGGTTGTCTGTGGCTCAATTACAAACACGCATAATCTACAAAGTCCTTTAAAAACACAGTTTTTGTGGTTGTATAGTCTTCTCTCGTTTGTCTATGGTGTTGTCTGTGGCTTAATTACAAACACGTATAATCTACATAGCCCATTTTAAACAGTTTTTGTGGTACTTTAGTCTTGTCTATGGTGATTGTCTGTGGCTCAATTTGAATCACTTATTTACCTAAACTCTTTAAACACAGATTTTAGTCTTCTGGTTTTGTTGTATAGTCTTCTTGTGTTGTTGTATCGTCTACACTCGGTTGTCTATGGTGTCGCTAGTCTATGGTGCTTGTCTGTGGCTCTGCGCGGTCATGTCTCAGGGTTGCGTGTCCCGGTGCTCGGCGGCGTCTCCACGCGGCGCCTCCGCTGCGGGTATCGCGCACTTGCCGACGAAGATTTCTACCTCCTGTGGGTTAAACGTACAATTTTATTATATGGGACCTTACCTATAAAAAGTTACACGCGTTGAACGGTAGTTCCAACATTTCCAAGTGAGGTTTAGTTTAAAACGTCACTTTAAACGTGTGATCAACGCGCGCGTAATTTTGATTAGTAAGGGTAAATAAATAACCCTAACAAACATAGCAAAAAATGATATTTCGGGCCCTTTTAAACTGTCAATACTAGCTTCCTGAACAGCTTCAGTTGCGATCTTTTGTGAGGTTACAAAATGCACGTTTTTTAATAACATGGTGTTTAACTTAATATCGCCATTTTGTTAAATATGCCTTTACGTAATGACCACAAAATGGCTGCGTTCATTTAGACCGACTGCAGACCGTAGAACACTGACTATAATGCAAAATTTATTTAAGTATTCCGTATTCACATTAAATTAAAAAATTAAAATTCATAAAATTCATTTATTTTTGCAAATAGGCTTTTAGAAAGCACTTTTACACGTCCAATATTAACCCTACCACTGCTTCGGGACAATAAATGGGCAAACGATGCTTGCTTAAGTGAAGCAGCACATAAATAAATTGAACGCACAGCCTTGAATAGAGCTCTGCGATTGGTTTGTGTGTCACACTGTGCATCCACGCGCACTGTGAGACCTCAGAGTAATGTTTGTGAATACGGGCGTAATTCATTACCTCGCTAAAAATAGATGTATTATATTACCTGACTACCCTCAATGCCCATGTCTTGATCTTGCTCGCGGCTGCAGGCAGCAGCAGTACGGGCTGCCAATTGTCTTTCACGAGCCACGCGCCTGCGAACAAACATTTAGTTTAGTTATTGTAGTTAAAGTATCAAGACTGGTATCAGAAAACAGTCGGATAATCTATTAAACGAATGACAATTTGGTCTGTCTTTGTTTATACAATAATAATAAGCAACGCCTTCACTGGGCGTCACATGTACAATATTATGTTCTTGTCAACCCTTACCCATGTGACATGCAATAAATAATTTGAATTTAATCAGGGGGTTCAGAGTCACTTGATGCCTAGGGTATCAGTGGATTAGTGTCCACCTAGCTTGATCCCCGAGAAAACTCAAAAAACTCATTTATTTCTGCAAATAGGCTTTAAAAAAGCACTTTTACACGTCCCAGTATTAACCCTACCACTGCTTCAGGACAATAAATGGGCCAGTGGATCAGGCTTTCATCCGCTCACTCAATATCCAGGGGTCATGGTCCACCTCTATGGATTTCCATGGATCAAGCTACCTTCACTGTGATCCCCGACGGATCAGGGCTCTCCTAGAGTAACCGGGAGAACAATAAAGCTGATACCCGGGGATCATAGAAGTAGGCGATCAGGGATCCTCCCACTGGATCTCAGAGGGATCATAGAAACAAATAGCAAACCAACCGTCGGTGTTCCAGCATGGCCTTCCGATCAGCTTCGTCCGATCAGGCGTGGACGGCGGTGTCTACCTCACTAGATCCTTTAGGGATCAAGGTGTCTACGTTTCGATCCCCAGGGGATCAGGGTTCCTCTCACTGAATCCCCGGGGGATCAAGGTACCTCTCACCGAATCCAGGAGGATCAAGGTTCCTTTTTACTCGATCCCCAGGTGATTATGCTTCCACTTACTTATTCCCCAGGGATCATGATAGGTACTACTCATTCGATACCCGGGTATCAAGTTTCCCCTGGGGATCATGGTTCACCTCAGTGGGTCCCTAGGGGATCAGGGATCAGAGTTAATTCACCATAATCCCAAGGGGATCATGATAATCCTTTTTCAATCCCTCGAGAATCAAAGATCCCTTTACTCAATCCTGGGGATCTACTAAGTTGATCCCCTGAGATCATAGAAACAGGGGATCATGGCTCCGCTCACTAGATCGCTTGTGGATCAAGATATCTTTACTGTGACCGCCTGGGGATCAAGTTATTTGATCCCCGGCGACCATAGAAATGTCAACAAACCTCCTGTGTTCCAGCATGGCCTTCCTATCAGCCTCCCGTTTTTCTGCCGCTAAGCGCGCCTTTTCATTCTTGAGTGCAGGCGTGGCGCGTGCCCGAGCACGTGGCGTGCTGGATGACGGCGTGGACGGCGGCTTAGGGGGCGGGGATACCCGGGAAAACAGAGGAGACTGCTTCACTAGATGCCCTGGGGATCAAGGTTCTCCTCACTGGATGGGGACCTTAATCCCCTTACTCGATCCCCGGTGCTCAAGGTCTTATTTCACTCGATCCCCGGAGGACCATGATCCCCCTAGCTCGATCCCCGGGGATCATGCTCCCCACCTTTTGATCCCCGGAGATCTAGTTTCCCCTGGGGATTATGGTCCACCTCAGTGGGTTCCTAGATCAGAGTAAATTCACCATGATCCCCAGAGTATCCTGACAATCCTCTTTCGATCCCTCGAGAATCAAAGATCCCTTTACTCAATCTTGGGGATCTAGTAAGTTGATTCCCGAGGGTCATAGAAATAAGGGATTGAGGCTGACCTCGCTCAATCCCCTGTGGTTCAATGTTCACTTCACTGAATCCCCTGGGGATCAAGTTGATCCCCTGATTATAGAAACTTGATTTATGGCCCCACGCACTAGATAATTCGACTATCAGGGTTCTCCTAACTGAAACCCTGGGGATTATAGTGTCTCTCCCTCTATAACCATCTATCTCACCTCCTGTGCTCCAGCATGGCCTTCCTATCAGCCTTCCGTTTCTCCGGTGGTGAGCCTTGATCCCCGTGTAATCAGCATCCACCTTAGTGGATCCCCCGGGATCAAGGCTCACCTTTCTAAATCCCCCGAAGACCGCAGTATTTTTACTGTGATCCCTGAGAATCAATTAAGCTACCTTTGATGTTATTTAGCTCACCTCCTGTGTTCCAGCATGGCCTTCCTATCAGCTTCCCGTTTCTCTGCCGCTAAACGCGCCTTTTCATTCTTGAGTGCAGGCGTGGCGCGTGCCCGAGCACGTGGCGTGCTGGATGACGGCGTGGACGGCGGCTTAGGGGTCGGGGATGACACCTGGAAACATACATCATCATCATCAAGTTATTTAGTCAATAATGCAACAGCACAAACGACGGGCAGTCTCTAATTTGCAGGATTTGGTTTCTACCTAACTTGAACGCCAGGGGTTCAAGGTCTATCTCAATCAATGGTGCCCTGGGGATCAAGGTTTTTTCATTGTGATTCTCCAGGATCATGTATGTTGACACACCTTCATCTAAGCTCAAGTGGCAGTGCACAGGGCACATAGCTCGTAGAGTTAAGGAAGGAAAAGGAACATTTAATGGAGGCTACTGACACACCACTCTTGTGTTCCAGTTTTGGTCTTCGTTTGCAATAATATCTTGGGGATCAGATTCCACCTAAATCAAACCCCAAGGGATCATAGTCTCCTTCGGGGTATCATGGTCCTACTCACTCGATCCCCAGGGGATCAAGGTTCATCTCAATGGGACCCCGGAAATCGAGGTGTTTTTATTGTGATTCCCTAGTAGATCAAGTAAGTTGATCCCCCAAGAGGCAGTGCACAGGACACTCGTAGAGCTGATGGCTTTTGGAGCAGAAAAGTTATACACTCGACAGCAAATAAATCGCACCACCCGCGACAAGCATTTTCAAACGTATGCATCCCTACTCCCCACCAATATTGGCACCATTTAAAATCCTAGTTCTAAACTTCATTTTATTAAAGGAAAGGTTTTTACCCCAAAAATGTGTCTTTACAAGGATCCAGAGTCACTTCTTCAAAAAATAGGTAGCTACGCTATAGCCATTTTTTATGACTATAAAACTGTTAAGTTGGGATTAATCGCTATCCATCTGTTAAAGAGGACACGTGTGATCATTATTTGGTTTTATAACCATAAAATTTGGTCTTATTGATCCCAGAGGTGAGCCCAAAGTGAGGTCTTTTTTCAAGTCACATTTATGGTATATGTTAATAATTTATTAAGAAATTAAATGTGTTTTTCTTTAAGGATATTTATTGGGCTTTCAAATAACACCAATATTGTTGGGGCACCATTATTGTGTCAAAAGAAAATCTTTAAAGTTCGCGTCGCGGGTGGTGCGATTTATTTGCTGTCGAGTGTAGATTGACGACCATTGACCGGACGTAGTGTGAGCAGGCCTCTAACTAGCTGGACCGAAGAGTTAGTGAAGGTCGGAGAAACTCGTAGAAATCCTTGGGGGAGGCCTTTGTCCAGCAGTGGACGTCCTATGGCTGAAATGATGATGATGATAGTTCATACCTCTTGCCAGTTATTGGCCTTCAGCTGGGCGATGTGTTCGTACAACGCGTCCACGTTCCTCACTTGCAGACAGACCATGTCCCAGAAGCCTTGCAGGTCCTCCAGGGTGGTCGGAAAGGGTTCGTCGAGACGCTCGTTTATGTTGTTGTAGCATAGACCTGGGAAATTATTAAAGTTGATTTAATAATTGTATGGTGATGATAACCTACGTTGAAATCGTGAAAAAAGTGGACGACTTTTGTTTTTTTTATGCATAACAAGGCAGGTATTTGACCACAATCGCACCTGATGTTAAGTGGGATGCAGTCTAGGATGATAATTAAAGAAATACGGCTTGGGTCATATTTAACCAGAAACTTGGTACAATGTAACTTGATTTCAATGCTGTAGAGATTCTGGTTGCACAGGAGTTGCAGCAGAATGGCCTAGTAAATTGATTACAGGTTATTTTTTTATGGTGACGTTACTGGGATGACGTACGGCATACGGAGCCGAAAATCTTCGTGTTCCTGTATTTTTGGACACACACAACTGCATATCTTTTTCGTAAAAACACACTCGAAGTTTTAAGCCAGCGTCTTTTCAACAATGCAGGGTATGCCACCCTTAAACATTTGTTGCTGACTGTACCATTTAATTAAATACACAAGTCATTTACTTTCTGCAAATAGGCTTTTATTAAGCGCTTTTACACGTCCCAGTACTATCTATTAACATAGCGGGTAGTGTATAATAATGGCTTTGCCTGCAAACGCTGGCGCGCGTGCGTGTGTGATAGTATGTGAGCAACAAATATCTATCTACCTTCAAACTGCTGCATTTTCTGCGTGGCCAGAAGTCTTGCTTTGCCCGACGCGGCTCTCAGCAAGCCCAGGATTTCTTCACTTACTTCTTGATCCTGGAATAAAAATATATAAACAAATTATACTTTTATGTAAAGAAAAACATTTCGATCCGAGGATTGACTGTAGGGATTTTTATTTTAAAACTAGCTTTCCGCCCGCGGCTTCGCCAGCGTGGAATTTTGTCTGTCACAGAAAAACTTTATCGCGCGCGTCCCTGTTTCAAAAACCTGGATAAAAACTATCCTATGTCCTTTCCCGGGACCCAAACTATCTCTATGCCAAATTTCATCAAAATCGGTTCAGTGGTTTAGGCGTGAAAGAGAGACAGACAGACAGACAGAGTTACTTTCGCATTTATAATATTAGTATAGATTAAAAAGGAAACCCTGGATACGAATGTCAAACATCAGTGAGACACTGGATGATTTTTCTTTACAAGTCTGTCTGGTCAGTTGAAGAAAACGAGAGATTGTTCATAACCTTAAAGTTTAATTTATTTTCTGTAAGATAGTTGGGCCCGATTCTAATTTGTATGAAGAATCGGCCGATGCAAGCGCACTTTCATACATTTCCATACTGATTAACAGCCCGACTCAACTATCGGCCAACTAAAAGTCGGTGGTCTGCGCCTAGACTAAAAACCACTTTTTACACTGCCCAATAAAAAAAAAACCTTCTAAAGCCCGGTCCGTGAGCACGTAGAATTTTGTCCAATGACCCCTAGCTACCCATCCTTATCGCTCGCGCGTAATTATATTGCTGTCGCGACTGTGCGACGGGCCGGGCGGCCGCAGTGAGTGTGCGAGCGCGACAGCAACATAATTACGCGCAAGCGATAAGGGTGGGTAGCTTGGGGTCATTGGACAAAATTCTACGTGCTCACAGACCAGGCTTTACACAATAACAGTCAATAGATTATACTATTGATCTACTGAAAGCGACTTTTGCTATACTATAGACGCACATGTGACCCACTACGTCCCAAGCAATGTAAAGTGTCATTCAATACCCGCACTGTATCTCTGGGTATGCTAATAATTCTATTGAACAAGCAAATAAATTTTTCATGAGGCTATATCTTGTTCACAATTTGTACAGTCAGGTACGTAATATTCTTGTTAAGTTGAATTGTCGACCATGTGTTATTTTTTCTTATAATAGCGGGGAGGGGGTCAAAAACTAGCGAAAATAGTGTTACGTAATAAATGAAAGGCCCCATGGACAAGGCAGGTATTTGACCGCAATCGCACCTGGTGTTAAGTGAGATGCAGTTTAGGATGGTATATCTTCCCTGTAAGTGCCTATTCACTCGCCTTGAAAAGGCCCGGATTATAGTGTTCGGGATAAGCAGCTGGCAGTGAATTCCAGTCCCTAGCTGTTGCTGTGTGTAGCTGTCCTTTGATCACCCACGGATATGATGCCCTGGGTGATCAAAGTGGACTCCAATTAAATTATTATTTTGGTGTCCTTTGATCACCTACATAAAAATCACACCTCCTCTGAATAGACATGTCATGTCCAATCGTTGTAAGTACAAACATTTTCTTAATATAGACTTTTTTTTTTACAGCATGAAATATTTTTACAGCATGAAATATTTTAAAGCGTTACTTACCTGAACAATGTTTGTGCGTACATTAAGTATAAGAGGAAGTGTGATTTGTATGTAGGTGATCAAAGGACACTAAAATAATAATTTAACTGGGGTCCACTTTGATCACCCAGGGCATCGTATCCGTGGGTGATCAAAGGACACTAAATTGTCGCTGGAAGTGGACTTTGATCACCTGGGTCATCAAAGCCAGGTGATCAAAGTGGAATAGACCTATTATAAGAGTTCGAAAAGCTTAGTAGTTTGAGCTGGTAGATTTTTTTAAAGAAGTCCTGTTAACTCCTTGTGGCAAGCTAAATAATAAGCTTGTGCATCATATCGACTGGGTTCGAATCTCTGTTCCTCGGATCTCGATTCCATCAATCCGAAACCATTGGGCTATATGGTCGCTGTACACAACATATTCGCATTTTGATAACTTAAAGAAGAAGAGAGTGGAATTCGCTGCCTGCTGCTGTCTTTCCTGAACCCTATAATCCGGGACTTTTCCAGGCAAGAGTGAAAAGGCACTTACAGGGCAGATACCTAGACTGCATCTCACTTAACACCAGGTGCGATTGCGGTCAAATATCTGCCTTGTCTAACAATAAAAAAAGTACAATTAAGTATGTTTCTTATTTACAAAAACTTATTTGGAGCCGACTGTACCCCGCTAGTGACTTAGTATTCATCTGTGCCGTTGATCAAGTCTTTTACCATACATGGCTAATACAAAATGTATGAGACTTGGTCTGTGAATTAAATTGGATCAATCATGTTAAGCAATTATTCAATTCAAAAGCAAAAGTAACTAAAGTCCGTATGTTTGTATGTACTTCTGAATCATCATCATCATCATCATTTCAGCCACAGGACGTCCACTGTTGAACATAGGCCTAATGATTTTCACAATGGCCGGTTGGTGGCGGCCTGCATCCAGCGCCTTCCCGCTACTGCACTTCTGAATCATTAAAGCAATTTTGATATCTTTCAGAATCGGTCTGTCACAGAAAACCTTTATCATCTAAACCAGTTCATGGTTTAAGAGTGCAAGGTGACAGACAGTTACGAGACTATTCCCACCTCCCGTTCCCACCGCTGCAACTCCTGTGTAGCCAGGATCTACAGCTTGACCGCCAATAACCTAACCAGTGAAGGTCAAGTGTGTCCCGGGGGAAAGTTAACCGTCATTGGACCCGCAACGAAATTAATCAGAAGAACATAGGAGGAGTTCAGACAGTTACTTTTGCATTTCAAATATTACATATAGTCCAGTCAATGAATGCCTTAACGACGGTGTAGAGAGAAATCCGTGGAACACAATTTCTGACCTCGGGACTTTATTTAGCCTAGTTAGGTGGTGAACATAGCAAAAGTCCCCGCCCTTAGCCCTTGAGCCGGCGGGGAGAGGGGGGTTTAAAGGTACCACTTTTCGGTTTTTCGCTTAATCCTCGGAAACTATGCGTCCTAGTGACATGACTACTATGAACCAAAAAAAGCTTATTCAATTTGCTACAGATGAGACCGTCAAGTTTTTCTATATCTTGTATAGTTTTTGCGGCATCTGCTCTAGAAGGTCCGTAAAATTGGAAATTTTATTGTTGTCTTACATGTTCCTTTCAGGAGAAAATCGACTAAATCAACATTGAGCAAACACTATAGACATGCGGGAGCATGTTAAGCCTAGTTCCATGGAGGGGACTGCACCGTGCGTATATTTAGACGAACCAATTAGAGCCACTTTTGACTCCTCATCATTCAAAAACTACTGTGCATTAACACTTCAAATTTGGCTCATGTATTGAGACTTGCAAGATATACATCAGCTTCAAATTTCATAAATATACCTCAAACGGTTATTTAGGTATTGACGTTCAAAAATCGATATTTAGAGCACTAAAATCTATCTATCACATGTGAAATGTTAAAATTTACTGGTTTTTTATTTGTTCCTTCGTATTTACATAACTACCTTTCCGGATGCCAAATTTGAACCTTCGAGGTCATCTGGAAGTGGTTAGAATTTGGTCTATAGGTCAGACATGTAGATTTTTGGACGTCAATATCTAAAGAACCGTTTGAGGCATATTTATGAAATTTGAAACTGATGTATATCTTGCAAGTCTCAGCACATGAGCCAAATTTGAAGTGTTAATGCACAGTAGTTTTTGAGTGATGAGGAGTCAAAAGTGGCTCAAAGTGATTCGTCTAAATATACGCACGGTGTAGTCCCCTCACAGGAACTAGTTTTAACATGCTCCCGCATGTCTAGAATGATTGCTCAATGTTGATTTACTCGATTTTCTCTTGATGGGAACATGTAAGACAAAAATAAAATTTCCAATATTACAGACCTTCTAGAGCAGATGCCGCGAAAACTATACAAGATATACAAAAACTTGACGATCTCATCTGTAGCAAATTGAATAAGCTTTTTTTGGTTCATAGTAGTCATGTCACTAGGACGCATAGTTTCCGAGGATTAAGCGAAAAACCGAAAAGTGGCACCTTTAAACCCCCCTCTCCCCGCCGGCTCAAGGGCTAAGGGTGGGGACTTTTGCTATGTTCACCTCCTAACTATTCTAAATAAAGTCCTGCAGTCAGAAATTGTGTTCTACAGTTTTCCATCTATAATGCTTTATTGACTGGACTAATAGTAAGGAGGTACTGATGATAGTGAGGAAATACGTTGTACGGGCAAGCACGTACATTACGCCGCATGATCAATATTTTGACCTACTTTGTAAATACGCGTCAATTACTTTTTGTACAAATCACTTCAGTTCGTTCGCATACATCATACTATTAAGTCGCGCGTTCTCACCTTACCATCAAAATCCATAACTAGCGTATCAGTTTAGAATACAAGTTATTTTTACCTCACAAACACTTCTATCATTCCAAATCAACCCTATCAAATCATATATACGGCAACCCCGTACATACGTATAGCACGGAAGTACGGATGCTAGCAAATACCAAAAATTTACTCAGAACCAACAATCGTAGGAAGTTAATTGTTTTGCTTTTAGCGTTAATTGATAAGAGACAAGCGTAGATGTTATCAGCCGAGGCAATTAGTAATGATCTTGAAGCAGTCTTGGAGTCACTCTTGAAGACCGAGGCCGTTGAGACTAAACTTGGCATTGGACCTTGGATGGTCTATTTAAGAGGTAGTCTTATAATAATAAACGAGCTTTATATAATATACATATCCTTGGACATGTTACACTGCGCCTATAGTCCCAAACTAAGCAAAGCTTGTACTATGGGTACTAGACGGACGACCGCTATAAACATACTTAAATACTTTTTTTTTGGGTAGCGCATTTTCTTACATAACTTTTCAATTCCTATCATTGGAGGTCCGAAAATATTTCTCATACAATTTGATACCATAATGATCATTCTTCATAAAAAATTTAAAACCTACATATTTAAAAACATAATCATTGATATTCATAATATCACTAATCATACACTTCGTTTTTACTAATATTTGTTTTCATATATTTTTCTATACTAATGATCGAAACTCATAATCATTCGAATAAATAACTATAATATTCATAAATGTGATGTATCCTAATATTTGTTTTCATAAATTTATTACTCATAAGTGTATGTATTTATCCATATTATTGAAAATCATGATGTCTATATTAGTATTAAATCGTATTTTAACATGAAATTAATTTGAAATGGTCCAAACAGGCAATATTTTGTGCCACAAAACTAACGTGACAGAAACGAATCGCTGCAAAACCGACTCCACGTAGTCTTGTCTGCCCTACCCCTAGAGTGTAATTTAAAAGCCGGAGGCGCGGAGGGAGGGCAGCCCTCGCCCGCTGTAACGAGGCTCAGGCGCCCGGGTGAGCTGGAGCGGCTGAGGCTGGTCGCCGAGGCGCCGAAGGCGCCGATGGCGATCCAAAAAGCCGAAGCTGCGGAAGCAAGCGTGGGCGCCTGAGCCTCGTTACGCAAGGGCGGAAGGGCTGCACATCCCGCAGCGCCGGAGACGAGGAGATACCAATGCATGCTGCATGCTTGCTTTCATGCTGCATGCTCTGCATGGTTATCTACTCTATTAAATTATATATGTTTTTTTAAAGATACGAGTATGTCTGTTATAAAGTAAATTATTCTGAACAACAACATTATGAGTTGAAGTATGTTCTTAGTAACAACATTATTAATTAAAACAATATGATCAATGAATGTTATGAAGAAAAAAGATCTGAAAATAAAAATTATGTATTTAAATGGTTCTTGGTAGTAACATTATTGATAAAAAAATTATGATTACTAACTGTTATGAGCTCCGATGGTAGTAATAAAAATGTATGAATAAAAAAAGTATGAAAAATAAAATTATGAAGAGAGATTATTATGAACACAAATCGGTAGTAAGACAAAGAATAGGATTTAGAATTTTATGTGAGCCAATATAGAACCTTTTTTTTGTAAATTATTATACATAGAACACACACCCGTCACAAAAATTTGAATTCATCATTTCAATTTCTGCCCAGCCGGAAATCGAACCCGGGACCTCTCGGCATCTAAACCACTACACCAAACGGATCCTTGTGGATATCATGTCGTAAGAGGCGACGGAAGAAATATGCGAACATCAGGCCTCCCCAAGCCATTTGACCAGCGGAGGGAGTGTAGGCCCTAATCATTCATTTGGCTCTAATAAATAGGAAATGGTCATATTCCTGCAGTGGAAACTAAATATCTTGACGATGATAGGATGATGAATTGCTGATAGCTGCCTCTAGCCTTCATTATGAAATCTTAGTTCTTTTTGACTAATCTCTAAAAATACCTAAGATTAATGATATGTTGTTTAAATTTTTATTCAAATTAGCATGGGCGTGTATAATTTACGTCATGCTTAGTTAATTCCAAAGTATACACGCTTGTACAGTCAGTATCAAATAGTTCGTGACACCCAAAGTGGCCAAAAAGTTGAGAACACAACCTTATTCCCATTATAACAAAGACGTGATGCGAACTTTTTGGCTACTTCGGGTGTCACGAAGTATTTGACGCTGACTGTATCTTGTTTATTAAATATCTTCGCCCGCGTGGAATATTGTCTGTCTGTCACAGAAAAACTTTATCGCACGCGTCCCTGTTTCAAAAAGCGGGATAAAAACTATCCTATGTCCTTTCCCGGGACTCAAACTATCTCCCTGCCAAATTTCATCAAAATCGCTTCAGTGGTTTAGGCATGAAAGCGAGACAGACAGACAGAGTTACTTTCGCATTTATAATATTAGCATAGAAGTATAGATTTGAGGAAGGGTCAAAGTTAATGGAGATTTTTATCAACAGTAATTAACAATTGCAATGATCTTAGTTCAGTTTGGCCTTGAGTCCTTCCCCAACTAACTACATTGGTTTTCTTTGGTCCATTGTTTGGTGAGACAATAGGCGGCCGAAGACGTATTTAGGTGTGGTAGCACAATGGAAGGTAGAATAGGTTTAGCTACTTATGAATGTCCTGCCTATAAGAAATGTATTGAGATTTGAGATCCAGGGGAAACATGTTTTTATCCCGGTTTTTGGAAGGGAACACGCACGAGATATATTCACTTTTTGACATTGTGACAGATCTAAATATACGCGTGCGGAGCGGCGAGCAAAAGATAGTAAGAAATACATTTCTATCTTTCGGAAAGCAGTAAGTAATGAGACACCACAACGAGGTTGTAACTGTCAACTCAAGACAGAAGATTCTGCTGAACGCGAAGCAAATATCATCCCCAATGAGAATATTTCTTTAGAATGCCAAGAAAACATTTTATGGAGCTTAATAAGCTCTCTTACATTCGATCGTAGTGTTAAAGCCTAAGGTTATTCTCAACAAAATTAGACACAAGCCAAATTAAGACTGTCAAATCCTTTTGAAGGATCAAAGTATTGATGGTTTCTAGGGATATTTTGTGAGATTTAAAAGCTGTTTAAAGTACTCCTTTATGTTCAGATTCGATTAGGACCAATCAGATCATTTGATTATCAATTACATTAATACGAAATAACACTTAGTTCTACCGACTACAAGATAAAGAATTTTAAAAATTTTAGTTATATTCTCACCTGTAAATTCTCCAACTCCTTCTCAGCAGTGGCGGCTAACGCGATCAGTCTTTCCGTCTCTTTCTTCTCCACATCCAAAAAGTAATGTCCGTCTTTCACTACCTCCTTCACACCATTCCCCATCCCGTTCACACTCACTGGTTCGTCTTTAACATCGTCCAATTTTATCACAGATACACCGTTTGTCACTGTCACTACTCGCGACTCTTCAGTCTTTTGGGGGCTGGGAATGTCCTCGGACTTCTGGGGCGACAGTTCTGCTTTCAAACTCTTCTTTGGCGATAGGATCGGCAGCTGTGCGCGGAACTCTGGCCTCAGATGCCTGAGGACTGGTAGGGATACACTGGAATCCATCTCTCCATTTGGACTAGAATAGTAATTTTCACTCTCTAAGCTATTTGATTTCTTGGGCGTCACGAATCTGTCAGGACAGTTCATGGACTTCTCCGTCAACACTTTTGGGTCGTCGTCGTCGCTCTGACTTCGCAGCTTATGCCTCTTCTGGTTGAAGAACCCTTGAGCCAACGCCCCTGGTCCGTACAGACGTTCCACTCTTTGTTGAATGAAACTCTTCATGGGACTGGTCAATTTCTCCCCATTTTCTTTCGTGATTTCCACGCGTTTTGAGACGCCGTTTGAAGATATTGTATAGGATTCCGAGCTGAATCTTGATTCCTTCCCATTTGTTACGGTTTTCCTGAAGTTCGTTTCTGAATAGCTGGATTTAAAGGTGAGCTCTTTAGTGTTATCGACCTCGTCTTTTTGATGGAGCATGGAAGCTGCAAAATTCTTGCTCTCGCTCGATATGTAAGGTCGACTCGTCGTCGTCATGTTGGCTCCGAGGAAATCGTTCTTCAACTGTTTGTTTTCCGCTGCCATGTACACATGTAGTGGTGACGTCGCCAAGTATGGATCCGTATGCGCCTTGACAGGCGCTTTCGCTGTCAAATCCGCTCGTGTATCATGGGGGCCGAAGGTTGGAACAAGCAGTTTGTTAGCGCTAACCGGCACGGGTACCAGAAGGGAGTTATTTTCGGTTTTGTATTGATATGTGTGTGTGATAGGTCTTATTGGGGAAGCTTCGCGACTTTTATTGATGTCCTGGCGAAGTTTGGAGTCGTATGTAGTTAAGTTCGTGTAACCATTGACAGAACACGCTAGGTTTAGATAGCTGGGTTTCTTGTGGGGGATATCGTCTCGTTTTTTATGGTGTCCCCTAGACCGATGGCTGCCGGCGTCTATGTGAACTTTGGGAGGGGGTTTGAGGAGGTGTTCAGATTTTCTGGGGGTTGGAGTGGGGTCGTCAGGCGTGCGGACAGGGGTGATAGTGGGCGTGGGATGCTGGGCGATGGGGGGCTGGAGGTTAGACGCTGCTCTCTCCTGGAACCGGGAGTTGAAGTCCCGGATTCGGCTGGTGGTCGACGAGGGCGTCAAGAGATTCAAACTTCCAGATGTGGTATCTGAAAAGAGATATTTTCAATAAGTTTACATTTAATAATCAAACCTTCACTGGTCGGGTTTCTATTGGCGGTCAAGCTGTAGATCCTGGCTACACAGGAGTTGCAGCGGTGGGAACAAGAGGCGGGAATAGTCCCGAACTTAATAAATGCTGTACTAAACATGGGATGCAATGAAAATCAAACTTGTTGTTCAAAATATGGGAAATACTATGCTTTTGCTTTAAAAAACCCCAGTACTGTCAATAGTTAAATTGCATTGACCTTTTAAGAAATTACTTTAGTGAGCCAAAAGCTATGTCAGTATTAAAACGGGTGTTAATTTATGTCACATGAATTAATTAAATAATTTTATTTTTGGTTATTTGGGAAAGTAATAAAACTATAAAAATAAAATGTTTATCACTTCGAAATAAAATTAAAAATTACATTTTCGTAAATACTTTTCCTGATATAAACTACCAACAGTACCAACCTAAGAAATTGAAATTAAATAATTATTTATACCATAATATTGGCTACTTTCTTTACGTTTTCCTATTTGACTAGCAGTGTTAAACACTAACCTTAGTTAAGTTTTCAGTTATGCAGATTAAAGTAACAGTTAATGTAAAGAAGATCTTAGCATGAAAAGTAAAAACTAAAATAGTTATAGCCTGACCAGGAACATAAAAACCCTCGCCATGTTGCGGAAAACTAATGGTACTAATTTCTTTTAATGGCAACAGTAACTGAAAACTTCATTGACATGTCACCTTGCATGTCAGTCTATTGCTGTCAAAGTGTAAACAAAGTTTATTTTAAATGTGCGCAATTGGTTTTATGAATTATATTGCTAAAATATTTTTATAGTCGTGAAAGAAAAGTGGTTCACAATGTGTTAAAGTATTTGTCGAAGAGAAATACTAAGGGTTTGGACAATATTTTCATTGAATAATGTTTCCGACAAAAGTTGTCAAATTGACTGACATGTTTATAGTATAGTATAGTACAGTCCACTATGAAAATTAGCTGTGGTTTGTTTCAACTACCTATTTTAAAATTTTTTGTCACTTTCTAAGTGTTGAATTTTATGGGATTGGGAAAGAAGTACCGAGTTTGAAGCGTTCATGAGCAGACATTGCAGTTGAATATTCAAGTTCTGAATTTGATTATTGATGAATAATAAAATAAATTCTACTAGCTCGATTGATGGTTTCATTTAATTTATTTAAATCAGGTTACCTATAATAATATTTTTTTCGTTAATTTATGAAAATATCAAATTAGCCCGTAATCCTGAATCCTGATACATAAAGTTAGCCTATTAATTTAACACAGGTACGACTGTACTCAGTGTTGCACTATCAAATGCAATTGACGCGCCTCTATGCCAGGGTTTTTATGTTCCTGGTCAGGCTATACACTATGTTTTATCAAATCAAAGTAAATCACAGCATTATACAAACTTTCCCAAATAAAAATTATACTCACAACTCATAAACATAGTGAAATAATCGCACATCTTCGATCAACAAAACATTTTACATACACGATAATGCACACAAATTAGAAATTACTATTTTATGATTTTTAACAACGATCGAGCATGTTAATATCATAAGGTCGTTGTATCTTATCAACATTTGATAATAGGATACGTAACGTGATTTAGATTAGATTTTTTCGTTGTAAAGTACACAAAATACTGTGTAAATAGGCCTTTAGTACACTTGCATAGTGTAATAACATTATCTGTACATTTAATCAACATGTATCTCTAAGTGCACACTTTAATGTACCTATAATCATTTTATCTAGAATTTGAATTTTTGCAGAAAAATTACCCAAACTTTATTAAAATACCTACCTAATATCTTTGTAATCTTTTAGAAAGCCAAACTTTTAAATCTTTTGTGATATTAATCCAAAAATAAGTTTTTCAATTTTCTTTCATTGAAATAATGCAGGGTTTTAGTATAATAAACGAAACAAATCCCAAAATAATTTACGGATAAATAACAACAGTAAAGTTGATATAATAAATTATCTTGTAAAGAAAATAATTCAAGTTTGTCAAATAACTAATTTTATATTCGTACACTTTCATTTAAAAAGAAAAGAAACTACTTATTAATTTAACTGGCTGTCACTAAATAATTCGACTGTTAATGAGAAATTAGTTAAGCAAATAATAAGCAATTGCATGCAACCGTCTGACGAACAAACAGCCTTGTTTTTGTAAATAATTTACGTATAAACAATTGACAGCACAGACTGTAGTTGTGACTTTTGTTGGAAAATGGCTCTAATTACAGCTACATAAGATGTAACAAGGCTAAGCTCGATATGCTGTTCTAGGATGTGCAGTATTAAAATGTCTTATCTAGGCATTTTATCTACTTTAGACGGTAAGTCCACGTTAGTTGTATTACAGAAACTAATAATTAGCTACATCATAAGAAATGTTTGAAACCTGAACTGAACTGGCTGATATTTAATTAAATTATAATCTACACTAATATTATAAAGAGAAAAGATTTGATTGTTTGCCAATGCAAACTTTATTTTTGCAACTATTCAATAACAGGCTTTCAAACTGGACTGGACTGATTTAAAAATTCTTTCATCATTAGAATCCTAATTTCTGATGAACAGAGGTAGTACAAAACTATTAGAATTTGCTAGGTCAGTTAGGGGTCATTCCATGACAAATGTTACCGAGGGTGAAAAACTAAATATGTTCTTTTCGCATTAAATCTGATGAATTTTGAAAGTATACATTCCAAATTATAATGTGCACCAAAAAAAATCTGAGAGAAACAAGTAATTTTTAAGTTATTAGTCTTCAAAGTCTATACTTAAGTCAACTGCCTGAATGATCATTTTCTCTCTAATTATTAGTAATACGATTAAAAAAAAAACTATCAATCTGTGAAACGTTTTGCCACTATATGATTCGAGGGTATTTATCATAGTATTGGTAGATAACGTCATAGTCCCAAAAAAATTGATAATCATCAAGTTTTAAGTGTGTTTTCTTGTTACTTCGGCGATGTAACACCCGAAACAGAAAAACAGGTATTTGTTTTATTATTGTACCTTACACATGGATTAGGTTAACAATATTTGGTAAAAGTAAGGTCATGGTAGTAATGATTTCAAATACTAACTAATATCTGAGCATGATACTAATTTAGTATGTTTCTTTCATGATTAAAAACTGTAACACCCGAAACGTTTCGGGTATTACATTTTTATTTATGTGTCGATATTGTGTGCATATTGCTTGGAGAAGTGAAAAAGTATTACTGTGAGGGTCCTTTGACCTCCCACTAGCGCTGGAATCGGAAAAGGAGTCATATTTCTCAATTTAAGACTTTTTTGAAATGTCGACTTAACACTAAAATTAAGGTATTGCTAAAAAGGGTCGATGTTTGACATTTCCAATAAATATCGTAATTAGAAATTAAAGTAATGCTATTTCAAGCCAAAAACAATAGAAAAAGCTATATTCTGAGGAAAAATTAAACTTGAACTTTGTATATTTTTAAAAAAAAGCTGCTTCGTAATTTCAAACCAGAATTCGCTCTAATTGTGTTTATTTGTTGTACTTTTTATTTTGTAGTACCTAGATACTAATAAAACACCGATTTTATCGATAAAACGCGTTGAATTTTCGTACTCGTAACACCCGAAACAAAACCATTGTAACACCCGAAACAAAGAAAAAATTTATAAAAAAATAGTAAAACGTTTTATTTAACAGTGATTGTATGTTACATGGTTTGTAAATTTCATACTTTAGAAGTCCTGTAAGTTTTAGGTATGATTCCTTAAGAAAATTCGCTAAATTTCGAGTAAATGCAGCAACAGTCAGAACATTGAGGCAAAATCTCGTAACGCCCGAAACGCACACTTTTCGACTCATATTTTCGTTATCCTACATTCTAAGCTGTACAAACTTTATTATTTAAATAAAACAACTAAAAACGGACAGATTAAGGCACTAACATTATTAAAATACTATTTCAAAATACATGATATTGTTGAATATGTGTGTACGAACGTAACACCCGAAACGATGGAATGACCCTTAGTTAAAATATAAAAAGCGGTGTTATTAAGTAAAATACAAATTACCAACAAAGAAAAATAGCTACCTTGCCGCAAGCCAAGCAAGGTTTGCTAATGAATACCGATATTCAAAAGCCCGAACAATGTTAAACATTTTTCGACACAGAAAGATAAACAGAAGTCCTCAATGGTAGTAAGCCTTGAACCTTGACCTTCTAACAATAAATAATTTAATTTTACTGCCTTGAAGACGGACAGTATTCTAGACAGTTCTTAGCCTCAGTTGTTTAACCGTAACTATAATTAACCTGTGTTTTTGTATGAAACTTGACAGAATTTTGACGTTTGTTATAGTGTAAGACGTTGCAACCCAGGTTGTCTTAAAAAATAAGAAACCTGGAAGTTAAACCTGGTATTATTATGGAATCGATAAACATATTGAGTATTGAGTCAAATAAGATATTGGAGGTTAAAATTCTGTTGTTTAATTAAATATAAATTGTTACCAAGATTAGGCACTGATAGCTGAATGCGTTCAGATTGCCACACTTTCTGTACTGCACTCATATTATCTTATGATATAATCATTTATAGTTTGGTTTGATAAGATACATGAAATTGTTAAAAAATTAATGTGTTTTTCCTATAAAAATATAGAAAATAAAATCATAGCATTTAGTAATTTCAAATACTGATAATTGTTTGTTTAAAATTCCAATTTATTGTAGTTTTATGAGGTTATAATTGCTGTTTTTAATTATTTAGGATATTGCATAAAATGAGTAGGTATTTTAGCCTAACTACTGGCTGGTATTTAACTAAAATATCAGTACATTCTGAGCAGTACATAAAGAAAAAATACGCATTGCAGATATTGAAACAGAATGCTTGTAAATACGGGCTATAGTGTATCTGTGATTCATAACACAGAAGATTATGGCAAACTTAGCGTATTACTCATCTTATTAAGAAAGCTATTAGTAGAAACTAACTATAAAACACGCTGTAAATCCTTTCTAACTCCAGCAATTCGCCTGTCCGTTAGAAAATTACACGGCAAAGATTTTAAAGTTTCTAAAGATTGCAGGTAGAAAACACGGACCTCAACTTCAAAACTTAATTATCAACGTCATTTCGCAGCAATATAAAAAATGAAACTCACCAAACAATAGTGCATTAACTTAGACACAAAACACACAATAATTACAACGGCACAAATGCGGTTTTTCAATTAATTTTTCACTTCAAACAATTTTACACAAAATTTTATGACATCACTTCACAAAGGAGAAACGTCAAACTTTTTACTTTTTTTCAGCACCAAGACGTCGACGTCGAGCTGTGCGCGTGTATGCGGCCAGTCTGGGCCGTTCCGTTTCACGGTCACCGAGTTTCACGCAGTTGTGTTTATTAATTTATTCACAACACCGTTTATTTATCTTATATTTATTAGCACCGATTACGATTTTATTTTTTGATGTTTCAGATAGCGGCACCGCGTATCCATCTGTATTCTTCAACGAGTTGGCGACAATGACCGGACTTCAATAGAGTTGCGTGGGTTAAAACGAGGCCGGCGGAGTTTATTTCGTTTGTGACTTACATTTTGCAACCTGCATTGTTTGCGGCCTACATATTAGTATGTTAGATATGATTTATACGTGATTACTGTATGTGCAATAGTTCAACTTCTGTTTAACTAACGCGTATTAGATTTACGCAATTGAGGAAAATGGATGTCCTATCGATCCAAACCAAATAAACTAACCGGCATTGCTTGACTAATTAATTACAGATCGTAAAGGTCAAGAGAATACATAATATTAAGCTGATTAGTCATTCTTACACGAATGAAGTGGGACAAGGTTGAACAAAACACAATAATTTTTCAAATACGGAATTTTAGGTCAATAGTCAGACCAAACTTACTTTTATTATAGTGAATAAGGCTGCCACTTTTATCTAGAAACTATAAAATCCAAGTTCATCGTTTGTAAGCACGCACACAACTTTTTACATTGTACATTTGTACGTAATAAATATTATTTTGTTTACTTAGAGCTACATCGATTTTGAAAAAAGCCAACCTTTTTATTCTTCTGGTATTTTTGGCCCCTTTACGTTTTTTTTACAACAAAATTGGCATTCGCTTCTTCAAAGAAAGGGTGTTTCATCGAACTATACTGTGAAATCTCTAGTCAGTTTCAACACGTAATTTGGAATGTCACCGAAAGCATCTGTCCTGAACAGTTTTGGAGCTAAATAAAGACACGAATGTCTTCGAAAATCCGGAATGCAATCATCTCGACGAGAAACAGAAGGGAATGGTCAGTTAATCCGAGTTATTTGTGAGAGTTAAGTTACGGAATGCTTAAGCTTTGAGCTTTCTTCGTAAATGTTCTGATTACTACATTTTCAATCAGTGTTCAAATTTCAAATGAGTAAAAAAAGGTATTCTAATTTTGAAACGAATCTGAATATGTGTATTGAAAGCCGGGTCTCCAGCGCGTGTTTTGTCCTACACAATCTTTTCTTGTAGGCAATTTTGTTGAATGTTGACATTTTTTTGTTGATTGTGTAGGGAAAAAACACGCACTGAACGGCTACTTTGAGACGGTCCAAAACTATTTTAAATAGAAAAACATACATATACATAAACATCACAACCACATACACAAAGAGGAAATGTAAAGAAAACACAGAAATGAATGAAAATGATTAAGATATAATTTATTGTGATACGAAAACAATATGAAATAAAGTAACGAATCCACTCTCTTGGTACAAGAGAGTGAAGTCGTCAAAGAAAACAAAATGTAAATAATTTCAACGATATACAAAATAACATGCTAAATAATAGAAAGAAACGGTAGAAAAACACTGAAATCTGTCATTTACCTGAGAAGTCTGTGCTGGCGTCAACGTCCAAGGAACAACTGCCAATCGAATCCACCGATTTATCCATGACTTTTACAGTGAGCTCTTTAGCACCTTCTTTTAACAAATCCGTCTCTTTAACTTCAATTTCGTACACCCCAATGCTGTCTAAATCATTGTCCAGATTCCTCACATCATTAGATTTCGGAGAGACAGTAGAACTCGGCAGTTTAATGTCGGTTTCATCTGTGTTTATGGTCAGAATCGAATCGGGATTGTATGAAAATTCCCCGGACAAATTTTTGTCTAATATAAGAGTGCTTTGGCTTGTGAAGTTGCTGCGTATAGGCTCTATGTACTCCACGTCGTCATCATCAACGAATATGCCGTTGGAATGTCCGCTCGGGCCTTGTTGGGGCGTCGCGTCTTTAGGGACCGCGTCTATAACTGGCTGGGTCTTAATAAGGCTGCGATAGTAATGACTTTCGAGCTTTTCCAGCTGTCTTTTTGTGTCAGAAGACTGCTTCTTGCGCACTGAATCTATTATTATCGGGAGGTTTAGAAGATCCGGCGTCTTCTCCCTCTGATTCTCCCTTTTGAAAAGCGGTGAGTCATCGCTTTCTAGCTCGAAACGTTTGTACTTCGACGAGCAATAGTCATCGATTGACGACGTATCAGACTTTTTGGAATCGAAGAATGTGTCGAGGGAGAAAAAGGACTTTCGCTTTTTCTTAGGCTGGCTGGCTTTGTCAAAATTTGACTGCACGAACGGATCACCCGATTTGAAATTCTGCACGCAAATGTTGCTCGTATTCACGAGAGATTTCGGTCGAGATTCCTTTGGGAGACTTAGCGGGACTCTGTTGGTTTCTATTTTACGAGAATCTAGGCTGAGAGTTTTGCGGAACCTTTCATTGAGGTTCGCTAGTAAGAAATGTCTACGCTCAGTCGATTTTGGGGTGACGTTGTACGAACTCTGTTTGCTGCTAGAAGGCTGAGAATTTGGAATGTATTCTGTGTACTTGAATTCTATATCATTTTCAGAGTAGTCTTTCTTATCTTCCGTTTTACCGTACGGTTCTGATGGGCATAGAGAGGACTGCCTGTTTTCAGGTCTGTGAAACGAGAACGAGCCACGGTTTGACGAGTTGTGTTTTTTGTCACAAATGCAGTTGCCAACGCAGTTGAGTTTTATGCATCTCCGGTCTTCAGGCTCGAGGGAGACGTCGTGGTCTTTTGGAATGTATTTGTCTGGCTTATGCTTGTGAACTAATAGGTCTTGGCGGATTTTCTCCAGTCTCTCATCACCTTGGAGACCTCTGGTATACTTCGATTTAGGTGGTCTGAAGAACCTGATACTGCCTGTGGAGTGAGGGTCAGTAGATCTTCGTCTCACGAACGACGGGGAGTCAGATATTTTGTTGACCCCTAAAAGCAGAACCGGCGATTTCTTGTCCTCTTCGTCGGGGAGGTCGCTGCAAAAAAAAAAAAACAAACAGTTTATTTTTTTCATCTTGTACGAAAGGTCTGTGCAAAGGCGTTTGCGAATATGCAGAATTAATTTTCGTTTAAGCTGGCCATTTAGTCATTTGATTTAAGAGTAAAATAGTTATTTCTCGCAGCAATTTAACTCTGATTCAATCAAAATAGTTAATTATAATGATTTATAAGCTTGAATTTTATTCTTAGGAACCAATATTATAAATATACAATATTTACATTAATATTTAAAAAAGAACCAATACTCTAATATTTAATAAAGAAGCAATAAATCCCGTGAAGTGATAATTTTATAGAACCAATACTCGTTTAAAAGTACAATTAATTATCTTTAAGATGGATTGCTTGTTGTTACGAATTTAATTTTATATTAATTATAAGACATTTTAACGAGTACTGGTTCTGAGTAGTCTAAAACATGATTAGAAAAGAAACAAGCATTAAAACAAACAAAAGATACTCACACAACAACACACGAACACAGATAAGGATTAGAAATGAAAAGAAAACGAAATTAGATAGTTATAGCCTGACCAGGAACATAAAAACCCTGGCACAGAGGCGCTTCAATTGCATTTGATAGTGCAACACTGAGTACAGTCGTACATGTGTTAAATTAATAGGCTAAATTTATGTATCAGGATTCAGGATTACGGGCTAATTTGATATTTTCATAAATTAACGAAACATATTATTAAAGATAACCTGGTTTAAATAAATTAAATGAAACCATCAATCGAGCTACGGGACTATTCCCACCTCTCGTTCCCACCACTGCAACTCCTGTGTAGCCAGGATCTACAGCTTGACCGCCACAAAAACCCAACCAATGAAGGTCAAGTTTGTCCCGGGGGAAAGTTAAACTGTCATTGGACCCGCAACGAAATTAATCAGAAGAACATAGGAGGAGTTCGAAATTAAGGTTCGACTTCCCTCCATTGCAAAGCGGATGACAGGTGACAAACAAAGGTTTAAAACCTTTAAGAAAAAGATTATGCACCACGGACAATTAAACATGTCAGTCAATTTGACAACCTTTGTCGGAAACATTATTCAATGAAAATATTGTCCGAACCCTTAGTATTTCTCTTCGACAAATACATTAACACATCGTGAACCACTTTTCTTTCACGACTATAAAAATATTTTAGCAATTTAATTCACGAAATCAATTGCACACATTTAAAATAAAGTTTGTTTACACTTTGACAACAATAGACTGACATGCATGGTGACATGTCAATGAAGTTTTCAGTTACTGTTGCCATTAAAAGAAATTAGTACCATTAGTTTTCCGCAACATGGCGAGGGTTTTTATGTTCCTGGTCAGGCTATACATAAACAAATTAAAACACCTAAAAAGTTATTAAATTAATGTAACGAACAACATTCGTAAATGTTTTTCAGAATTCGATGTTTAAACCTTGAACTTAAACGATTTAAAAAGAACATCCTAATCACGTCCTAATTTTTGCAAAATCCCTTTGGCTGCACGCCTTTGCATTTTCCCAAACGGAATATTAAACGAAACAAAAAATAAATGTTAGCAAAATTAAATTTCCTACCTACCACGCTGCCATTTAATCCATTGCCTAAACTGGCATGTGGTTGATTAATCTTTATTGACTTGAACTGTAACAACAACACAGATTGACACAGTAAGCCTACTGAGTTGGATAAATACAGAGAAAAGTCGCGTATTTTTTAAAAGGATTTGTAAGTTGAGGTACAGTAGTCTGAAGAACTAAAGAAATTTTTTCTTTAACATAGGGGATCAAATTGAAAAGATTTTACGTTTCCATACAAAGTAGATCTTCTACTTCAGTATTAAGTGCATTACTCGTACCACGACCATAAAACGGCACTCCTATCGCATTCCCAGTGGCCCTAGACACTTCCCTGTGCGATCTCAATAATAACTGGATTTCCTTTCCCATGATCCTAGTAGGTCTACTCTTTTTCTGATGTTGGGACCAAGAGGTATTAAGTAGGATAGTGTAGGTACACAGGTATTACACAGGTGTATCTGTATGTGAGTCTTGTTTGTAGGTTTTTTAGTACGGGACTATTCCCATCTCTCGTTCCCACAGCTGTAACTCCTGTGTAGCCAGGATTTACAGCTTGATCGCCAATAAAAACCCAACAAGTGAAGGCCATGTTTGTCCCGGGGGAAAGTTAAACTGTCATTGGACCCGCAACGAAATTAATCAGAAGAATAGCAGAATTCGAAGTTTTTAGAGTAGGATAGCAACCCTTCTCAACTAATTTCAATTGCGATTCAACAAAAACAAAATATTGCGTGTGCACGACTATAAAAAGGCACCAATGTGGCAAGGCAGTGGCAAGGGTGTGTCAGGCTGTACTATGAACGAGTTGAATGTTTCTTCCCTATTTTGTGGCATAAAACCTTTTCTATAAATAGGTAAATCTGGTCTATTCCACTTAAATCACCTGGCTTTGAATAGACCGTAATTCTAGATGAAGTTAACCATTAGGCACTATAACATAAGGAAATTATTACAATCTCATGCCTCCTAGACATGTGGCAAGACGTGACAGTTGTAGATCGAAAATCGAAATCGCTTCACGGAGCGAAGCATCTACAAAAAAAAAGCTGGAGCGAAGGGATTTCGAAATTTTAACTGTAACATTTTTACCACTTCCCTAGGGGCCCCCTTTCATAAAACCAATCAACATAGTTTAGATAATATCAGCAGGTTCAACATAAAAGAATCTGACAGAATATATTTCAATGCATAGGTAATTTTATTTAGAAGCTACTCATATCATATTGTTTATAATAGCTTTGCTTAGATTGTGATAGAGGTAAGTACATAATTCATGTGAATAAAACAATTTATTTATTATCAATTCAACACACTATGCTTATCCGTTAGCTAGTAATCATAGTACAAGCTTATCATAACTTACATCTTTACTAATTAATTATTGTTGGATTGGAAAAATTGACGTACTTATATGATCTTGTCTACTTATAATCTCCCACATTGACTTCCCACGAGAGCGTATCTACAGTATTTATAACCCTGTAACGGTCATATCGTTGGTTATACGGAAACGATGGCGTGACTACACTCATTAGGAGTCAGGATTGTATGAATATCAGGATCAAGGGCATCATGACAAGAAGGCAAGGAGATATTGAGGCGACCGAGAATATCCTATGGAGTCTACTGCATGGAATGATCTGACAAGCTTTTATTCTAGCTAATACAGCTATTATTTTTGAGCTATCAGTTGACACACCAAGTAGGAGGGCCACGAGTGTACCTACTAGCCTAGGTCCAGGGTGAAACGTAAGGAAAATATATAAAATTTTCAGGAGGACGCAGCTGACCTCTTTTTCCCTCCCTTTATCGCTCTGCATTACGTTCGCCAAACGGGTCGGTCTCTATTCGAGAATCGAGATCTCTTTTACTCCATCTTCAACTATAATATACGCAAATGATGTTGAATTACATTACATTGCATGCTTGCTTGGCAAGCCATTTATGTTCTGTAAATTGCTTTTATTACTTGTAATTCACACCTGAATTTAGTCAATTTGAGCCAGCTTTAGTCACAAAATCTCTTATACTTTTCTTCCAAAGTAGACAAATAAATCAGACATAGTAAAAGCTGGTAATACTAAACTTTCACTGTGACAACTTTCTTTAAAGGCACTTTCTTTCAATTTAAAAAGGAATTCCATGTAACCCCATCTCTCATTTGCGACCATCAATTAGCAGATCTATTTCAGACTAGATCCATTGTCTGCTGTTTCTAATACAGATACGTGCAGTAGACTTTCTTTGAGATTCTATTTGGTCCAATATGTAGTAATATGTTGAAGTCAACTTTACATTTAGGGACCTAAGTTGGTGCATTGATCAAATATTGGAAGCCAGTCTTCGTACAACATCAATCGTTATTCGATGATTTTTCTCCACACTGAAGATGTTGATGTAATTTTTTTTATGCATAACAAGGCAGATATTTGACCACAATCGCACCTGATGTTAAGTGGGATGCAGTCTAGGATGGTACATGCCCTGTAAGTGCCTATTCGCCGTACTCTCGTCTTGAAAAGGCCCGGATTATAGTCTTCGGGAAAGACAGCAGCAGGCAATGAATTCCAGTCCCTATATTCTGCTGTTCGCATTATAAAAGAGTCATCATCAATTTGGGATGATGATGAAACGCAATGGTAAGCCTCGCCATTCAGTGCACCGAAGTTCAAGGATCGCGGGAAGCATCTGGATACGGGACTATTCCCACCTCTCGTGCCCACCGCTGCAACTCTTGTGTAGCCAGGATCTGCAGCTTGACCGCCAACAAAAACCCAACCAGTGAAGGTCAAGTTTGTCCCGGGGGAAAGTTAAACTATAATTGGACTTGGAACGAAATTAATCAGAACAACATAGGAGGAGTTGGAAGTTAAGTTCGACGGAAGCACCTGGATGCGGGCAGCGGACCGGTCGTTATGGAAATCCTTGGAGCAGGCCTTTGTCCAGCGTTCTTTAGGATGATGACATTTTAATATGATGACGTAAATGCCAGGAATATTCGCTGACTAGCTTTCCGCCCGCGGCTTCGCCCGCGTGGAATTTTGTCTGTCACAGAAAAACTTTATCGCACGCGTCCCTGTTTCAAAACCCGGGTTAAAAACTATCCTTTCCCGGGACTCAAACTATCTCTATGCCAAATTTCATCAAAATCGGTTCAGTGGTTTAGGCGTGAAAGAGAGACAGACAGACAGACAGAGTTACTTTCGCATTTATAATAGTAGTATACAGGGTGTTAGGTAAATGGGTATATGAGCCGAGACCAGCCCATGTTAACATAGTCATATAAATACTATAGTGGTGTCAGAAAGTCTGGGAAAGGTACCATTATTGAGTAATCAGCTGATTCAGTTTTTGTCGCCAAATTGCGTCGTGACACCCCTGAAAATTAATAGTACGACAAACTAGCGTAGATAAAACAAATGACAGAATTCATTATAATTTTCTGCCTAAAAGTTTGTCTCTGAGAGGCAAAAACCTTAAGCAATCCCCCAGGAAAATCAGTCCATCTAAAAAGATTTAGCACAAGTCAAATACTCCCTTACCTTATTTGATTCGATTTGGATTTTGGATAAGTAAAAGTAAACAAAGTGGTCAAGAATTATTTTACTTCATTGACTGTAACTTACTTATTCAAATAAACTGAATAATCAGGACCGTTCATTGTGGACGTCATTCGGCTGAAATGTATGAAGGAACGAATCTTTAAACTTGATAACTTTGATTAAGGAAAATGAGAAATTGTAGGTAATCATCTAAATTTTATCATCGTAAATCACGATATTGTGTACTAAAAATACCTTAACTAAAAATAAGACACCATTGAAAAAAAAACCTTAGGCATTAAAGAAATGTGCCCAACGCACTGTTTAATCTTTGAAGGTCAACGAAAGGTCTTACAATGGAACCGGCACGTGTAGTGCGAGTGAGACGCAAGACGTATCGCACGGCGGCTTTCACTTGCAAGAAAGAGTCGGAAGATCATCGCGGCGCAGGGTAGCGAGAGTGAGACGCAAGACGTATCGCACGGCGGCTTTCACTTGCAAGAAAGAGTTGGAAGATCATCGCGGCGCAGGAGTAGGGAAGTGACATTGAAGGCAAAAAATCGATTAAGATTTTTCTCTTGTTCAATAATAAATCGTTGAAGGATTTTTTTTTGTACAAATAATAAATTCAGGTGCCATTAATTAATTTCCAATCATTAATGGAGACGACATGTGGTTGGGGTTAAGTTTTCATTTCATGATTGACTAATGAAGGTCAAGTCGTCTCTGGGGTCAAAGTGTCGTAATTACAGTGCCGTAATTACAATCTAGTTGGTCAGTAATCTTGCTGATTGTCTATCAATAGCCTATCGAAGGGCCACCCAATCACTCATACTATCGTTAGTAAAATATCATATTAATTATTTTCTAAGAAAAATAACAGCGTTTATCGCAAATTAAATTTAGCTAAAACATTTCCAAAAGCATGGCAGATTACGGTTTTCTTAATTTACCAAATAAAACTGTGTTGTTAGTTTTTTTTTTTCAATATCTTCTATCTGATTTAGACCAATCGATAGTATGAGCGATTTCAGGTAGGTAGGATCTATCAATTATTCGATAATTGATTTTAAGACATTCCTATTAATTAGTCAGATGGGTTTCAAACAATTTGATATTTCAATCGATTTTTTGTAATATCAATATCGATTACCGAATTTATGGAAAAAATAATGACCTCGCACTAGTTGCACCGCGCATGCGCCATGCGACCATGTTTATTTGTTTACATTATTATTTGATCAGTTTGTTGCGATGTTTTGATTTTCGACGTTCTGGATAATTAGATATTCAAATAGCTAAGTAATACAATGACATTATGGTGTTGAGTGGTGTTGGTGCAATAGGACTTTGTGTTTTCTTTAGTGTGATGAACGATTTATGTCCGGGAGACCTTCCGTTCCACGATACCTTGTGTCATAATGTTTTCGCGGGTGGGTGAATCGACACCACCATACCACCGAAGGGAGACCCGGAGATCCCGTTCTTGAAAATAGGATTTCACTACAAGTACCTACCTACCCGGTCACTTGAAAGCGTGGGAAGGTAAATAAGTGAGTGGATGGATGTGATAATGTGTTGCGATTCGTTTTGTGAATTAGAGTGAAGTGTTACCCCCTGAATATCTTAGATTGCTTGCAGAGTCAATAAAAAGAGGTAAGTGAATAATTGGTTCAAAAGTAATAATAAAAGTGGGCGGTGCCGACTCGCGTCAAAATTTGTGAATGAAATACCGTTTGACCACGTTTGACCTAGGAGGGAGTTGCGCGATCGTAGGGCTGTCCAAAAATTAAAATAATAATTATTTATTTAGTTTTGTATGGGAAAATATTATTTATTAAATATTACGATATCCACTTTCTGACACCACTATAGTATTTATATGAGTATGTTAACATGGGCTAGTCTCGGCTCATATACCCATTTACCTAACACCCTGTAGATAAGGTCTGGCCCAACAAACCAGTGTTTTGGGACTTACTGGGTCCATTTATTCTGTGATAGATCCATGTCTGTCCATCAACAGTCTACTTTAGCGTGCGATAGAGCAATTTGTCCATGTCTAACCAACGGCAACGGGACGCTAGTGTTGGGAACTTACAATGGGGAGACATCAACACGCATTGTCGAAATTAACGACAGCTGTATTAAAGTGCCACAAAAAGATTAAATTGTTTTCCAACTCCATCCAGTTCATCAAAAAATACCTTAGTGACTTATCTTCTATAATTAATATTCCTTTATTAATATGCTACTATAAGACAATAACTTAGCTAAGCACATTACAAGAAATGCAGCAGTGCCTGCTAACTTCTCTTCAACTTAGTAAAATTCTGTGTTTTTCTCCTAAAACCATAGGTTGATACATAACGATTTAGTCGAAGGTTTACACATATTTTACATAATACATATAATACCTATCTTATTGCAATATAATTATCATATCTTTATTGCAAGAAAAAAGTGTTACAATTTTGAGTGAATCTTCTGTCTTCCAAAATAGGCATTTGCCTGTACCTACCTAGTATGGACGACAGTGTCCTCCCCCAATAGACACAAGCAGTTTAACAGGTTAATAAACATAACATCTATTTACGTTATAATCGTACGTAATTTACGTTATTACGTAAAAATACTAGGTGGGGGGGACATAATCTATCGCAGCGCTCATGGTGGTCAAAAGTAGAAATAATGTTAGCTCTGTCATCAGATGTATCTGTCAATGGCAAAGCGATTCTACATAATACATTTTAATATCATTAATTAATCGCATGAAAAGGGTCCTACTGGGAACTTAAATAAAAGAGTGGACTGTATTTCGATAGGGCTGTTTTAATAGCCGTTTACAATTTGGAAATAACTAAACTATACAACGTGGTAGTACAAAAATGAGTCACAGTAGTTGTTGTGCACAGATGTTTGCCTTATGATGAGAGCGTGAATTATTGAACTCTGCCCTTGTTTTGTTCTTAATTCTTCTACATCTCGGACTTGTCCAGCCAATACCAACAACTTTCCTTTAAATACGGTTTGTGGTTGGAATTTGATANTGAGTTGTTAATTGCAATAAAACAGCACTCAAAAAGTTCCCAATGCTTTATGTTTGAACATTATACACATTATCATAATGCTTATTGTCAAAGTCGTAAAATTCAGATGTCTTTGCAAGAATTTCACTAATTTGCATTTTAAGTCAGCGCTGGTTTAACTGGCTCTTAAGATACAGAAATATCCCTAAATACTGAGAGATAAGGGCTGGCTAAATTGCAGACCTACTTTTAGAAAATAAGTAAGTAAGTACCTACTTAAACTTTACAAAACTGACAGTTGTTAATCAACTGTTATTTATTAACTACTAGCTTTCCGCCCGCGGCTTCGCCCGCGTGGAATTTTGTCTGTCACAGAAAAACAATATCGCGCGCGTATTTGCTCACCGTTTAGACCTACCCTGGACTACGACAAACATTTTAAAATCAAAATCAGCTCAATCGGCCCAGCCATTCTCGAGTTTTAATAAGACTAACGAACATCAATTCATTTTTATTTATACAGGGTGTTTGGTAAATGGGTATATGAGCCGACACTAGCCCATGTTAACATGGGCATATAAATGGTATGGTGAAGTCAGAAAATTGATATCTTAAATTTAATTATTTTAATTTTCATACAAATCGGATTTTATAAAATCTATTTTGTATGAAAATTTAAAAAAAATTAATGATGATATCAATTTTCTGACTTCACCATACCATTTATATGCCCATGTTAACATGGGCTAGTGTCGGCTCATATACCCATTTACCTAACACCCTGTATAAATAAAAATGAATTGATGTTCGTTAGTCTTATTAAAACTCGAGAATGGCTGGGCCGATTGAGCTGATTTTGATTTTAAAATGTTTGTCGTAGTCCAGGGTAGGTCTAAACGGTGAGCAAATACGCGCGCGATATTGTTTTTCTGTGACAGACAAAATTCCACGCGGGCGAAGCCGCGGGCGGAAAGCTAGTAGTTAATAAATAACAGTTGATTAACAACTGTCAGTTTTGTAAAGTTTAAGTAGGTACTTACTTACTTATTTTCTAAAAGTAGGTCTGCAATTTAGCCAGCCCTTATCTCTCAGTATTTAGGGATATTTCTGTATCTTAAGAGCCAGTTAAACCAGCGCTGACTTAAAATGCAAATTAGTGAAATTCTTGCAAAGACATCTGAATTTTACGACTTTGACAATAAGCATTATGATAATGTGTATAATGTTCAAACATAAAGCATTGGGAACTTTTTGAGTGCTGTTTTATTGCAATTAACAACTCAAATGAATTTGTCACCATCTTCAAAATTTTATCAATTAGGTACCTATATTTAACAATATCTTCAAATAAAAGACTTTGTATTTGAAGGTCACTCAAGGTGTAAATTAAAAAATCGTTCCCGTCCGGTTTACAATGTCAATAGTATATGTTGCTTGTGTAGGGGCCAGGGGACGCGATGACAAATGAAAAACTGCTTATTCCAAACTGCACTGTTTTTATTGCACACGAGTCACATGCTAAGTACACTGAGAGTGACAGACAAAAAAGGACTGACAAATTTTTGCACAATCGGTTCGCTCCTTCCCCTCCCCGCCGCCGTGCCCGCCCCCCCTCGCACGTGGCGCCGCAGGGCGGCGGGTAGCGGAACCAAACGAATTTAAATCTTAGGCGCGAATTAGTTTAAATTTTAGGCGCGTCGCTAACATCCCCCACCCTAGTGCTGTCACAGCACTCATCACTGAGGATGATAGGTGCTACGTTGGCCACCGACCGCCGTAACCTCCCGGTCGCAGTACGCACTTCGACCAGCCTGATGACCCCGTCCTTGCCCGGGAAGACATGTGTAACCACCCCCTTCGGCCAGGTGTTGCGCGTAGACTGGGGGTCTGCCAGAAAAACAAGGTCCCCGACCTTTACTGATGTCGTTTCATCCCGCCATTTCCTCCGGGGGATGAGATCAGGCAGGATTTCCTTCACCCACCTCTGCCAGTACATGTCAGTCAGTCGTTGCGCCGTACGCCAAAGCTTGCGCAAGTGCAGGTCTGAGTTCTCGTACTTTCCTATGACAGGTAAGTTGGAAGACGTACCGAGAAGAAAATGGTTGGGGGTAAGCGACTCAACGTCCCCTGGTTCGACAGACACGTGCATCAGGGGGCGGCTGTTGACAATATTTTCCACCTCAGCCATCAGAGTGCTCAACACTTCCATTTTAATATCATTAATTAATCGCATGAAAAGGGTCCTACTGGGAACTTAAATAAAAGAGTGGACTGTATTTCGATAGGGCTGTTTTAATAGCCGTTTACAATTTGGAAATAACTAAACTATACAACGTGGTAGTACAAAAATGAGTCACAGTAGTTGTTGTGCACAGATGTTTGCCTTATGATGAGAGCGTGAATTATTGAACTCTGCCCTTGTTTTGTTCTTAATTCTTCTACATCTCGGACTTGTCCAGCCAATACCAACAACTTTCCTTTAAATACGGTTTGTGGTTGGAATTTGATATTGTAACTCTCACAAACCCGGTCTTCAAAACGATACTCATTTCGATCTGAAAACGATATTTAATTTATTACTAGCGATACAGAAACATTTAAATATATTTACTGTTATATAATGAAACCGTTAAAGTAGCTTTTTCTTTTTGTTTTACTGTAAAACTACAACTATAAATGAAGTAAACAAACCCTGACACAATCAAAATTAAACACACTTTTTGGACTTACCTCATTTGATTTGAATGACCAAAATGATTTCAAAACCTTTTTTCCACCCAAATCGTGGTATCACAACAATTTATTAGTTGAAAATATTTGTTATTTTTTCATTTCGATATTTTTTCACAAATATACGACCTAAATGTTGTGGGAGTCGCATCGTGTCAGCCACCGTACTGCGAGATTGGCCGCGAAGAGGCCGCTTATATTTATAACCTCCGGCCTAGAGGTCCGAGAGGCTGTCTCGCTCGCACACCCACCGCGGGAGCTCCGTGGATGTAACCTACGCGCGAGAGGACAGATATCGCTGTCCCGCCTCCTCTATGGTGCGCGCGCGGGAACGCACTGAAAGTTTTAATATTTTCATGTCGTGTGCGACAACCAATGTTTCTGTCTCCTTTCTGTGTACTATAAATATAGCGCATTTTGTAAATAAATAATCACTTCAAATCTGGACTCTGAGTTTCACTCATCTACCTGCACCTACCTTCTCCTCGACACACAGCTAGGCTCCATAATGTCAATGTGACAGAGCCCACAAAGTTGTGGACGCTAGTTGGCGCTGTAATCGTGCACGGAGCCAATAATAGGCACGTCGTCTATCGAAAATCGGCTGGCAACAATACATAAGTAAATAAGTCTGTCGCCATAACAACAATGTTAGCAGCATTGTTATGTTCCAGCAGTTAGTTAGAGGTAAGATAGCCAGTTCCTCTGTGGTTGAGGATTCTGGGTGAAGCTCGCTTCCACCTTAGACCTGATCATCACTTTCCATCAGATGAGATGCAGGCCAAGAGCTTCCTCGTTGTGGATAAAAAAATCATCTAATGCTCGTGCTTATCATACAAAATATTGCCCCCAGATGAATTCGAACTCTCTACTAAAGTTTTGCAATCCGATATGTGAATCATTTGTCCAGACAGTCGTTAAAGAGACACGCATTAGGTTTCTGTAACAGATCGAATGATAGAAATCGAATCTTTTCAGTAATAAAATCACCACGGTATGTAATGTATCGGAAGTGCACCCACGAGAGTTTTACGTAATCGATAAAAATCGTAACAATCGATTCCTTATTGGCTGTTATAATCGAGCGATTAGTTAAAGTGAGCGTTAAATTCTGCTTTCCACATCCGCCAGATGTCGTGATTGAGTTTATATGTATTTGCATGCAATGTTTTTGCTTTTATTCGATTAAGTTTTTTCGAAGGAAATGGCCATTAATCATGTTACGATGTTCACTTATTTATCATGTCGCAAAAACAGTTTTCAGCAGTCCATAAAATCTAACGTTTTGTACTGTAGACAACAATCCATTGGTGGACCGCACACAACAAGTATTGTAATTAAATTCCTTATGATTTTTGCTATTTGCTTTATAGGATTTTATTTCCATCGAAATCGTACAAGCTTTATCTATGTAACCTACGAAGGAGAGCTACAGTCTTTGTAAACCTCATTGAAGAATGAATTGAAATGCAAACTTTAAAAACCGAACACAATTTTGTAAACGTCAAAAAGTTCCCACCAATTTTAAACGTAGTAAATTCCGTTACCGGCCAGCATTACATGAAGAAAAGTGCCGCGAAAAGCTATGATTACCATAAACAATAGTTGCGCAAGAGTGGTGTCGTTGACCGCGGTCGTGATTCGTGACTGACCGGCCGCGGCAGGTGAATGATTCTGTGTTAGAATTTGAGTTATCTGGCCGATAGCCGAGCAAGGGTGTGCACTGTGCAGTAGGACCAGCGAGAACTACTGTTAAAACTGCAAAGACTTAAGTCAAAAGAAAACAATCAACTTCCATCCATTGCGAACCGGGAGACGAAAGATTGAAAAAGAGCAGGAGAATGAGCTATACAACACGTACAGGGCTGCAGGGGTGACATTAAGAGGACCTAATTATGGTGGTTCCGGCTAATTCTGTCAGCCCCACATTGAGGGGTGGGGGCGTGGTAGATCCCGCCGTGTAGGGCGGGACGTCCGCGGAAGGCGCCTTGGTCGTTTCTAGTACCACCGACCACTATGCGGCAGATCCAGAGGGAACACCCCAGGTTTTTAGTGGGTTGAGGCCAACGGTTCCTGGATTTAAAAAAAATACACGTCTAGCCAGTACGCGTGACAAAATCTCCGAAAAACACGGATGCTTTTCTTTGTCACGACGTAACAATAGTAGACATAGGTTAAAATTTTATTTCACACGGGAAGAAGCCATTGGAGCAACTGACTCTTCTCCTTTTGTGTCAACAATAAAGCATTTATTAAATCTGTCTGTCTGTACCAGTACTTCAGATACCGTTTGGCGCAAATGAGAAATAACATAGTTGGAAAGACGATTCCTTTGTCTTTGAAATACCCACCTAAGTACTTGTAGTGTCCAAGCAAAGTTCTAAATAGCGTTAACCACAAACTTTTAGACGATTGACGACATTATTTGTAAAAATAATATGTTTAGCTAAGTACGATACAAATCCATTAAGGTTCTAAACTATTTTTTACTTTAACGATCTCATTTTTCTTCGGAAGCATGGGACACTTAGGCTGGGTTGCATCATCTTACTTTAACTTTAACAAACGTCAAGAGTCTGTCAAACTCCGTAAAAAAACACTGGTTATTGCTAGAGTCACGGTAAACGGTTAAATTTAGGTAGGTAGGTGGTGCAACTCAGCCTTATATTATGTTTTTGAAGAAGTTTGACCCTGTAAGTTTTTAATAAATTAATTAACTTAAATAAATTAGGTGTTCTGTGTATTTAAAGTTATTTGCATATTGATGAATATACAAAAAGAAAATGCAATACATAGAATTTTTCTCCAGTAAACCTTTGGGATTAGAGACGGTGTATAACTTTAAGCTAACTAAGCATTATTAGAGTTCAAACCCCATCAAAAACCAAGTCGACCCCCAGCCACGGTGATTCGTACAAATTGGTAATTGTAGAAACGAACGATAATTCTATTTTGGGCAATTGACTGATTTATTTGATTAGTCACGCATTTACGGACGTAACGAGAATCGATTTAGATTCGATTTATCTGTCCTTTTCACTCGTCTCGGATGGTGGTAAGAGTGATGGAAAGAGGTGATGTCCAAGATGTTCTGACCTTTGGACTTGGTTGATAAATAAATCATTATGTGGGTTTGTAAGCGTTATTATAATGGTCGATATATTTTTTTTTTTGGTGGGATAAGATAGTTTAGGTTGTTACTTCTTATTGATTATTTTTGTGACTGACAGCTTAACAATGCAAGTTTTAAAAACATTGAGAACTTTTACTACGAGATTTTTCCCTCCGATTTCCCTAGGATTTCGGTCTTTCAACCTTTTCAAATTTTTTAACTTAGTCATCAGTTTTAACTGAACGTCCAGCTTTTATCTCGCGCGCGTTGTCCTTTTAGTTTATTTATTTAGAAACCTAAAAGGACAACGAAACAAACTGATTTTTTATGCCAAAAGCTTGTGAGTTTTTAAATCGCCATCTTGAAAAATGGTTGGACCTCCATAAAAAATGTCTGCGTCAAAAGTTCTTTGACCCCGCAGCTGTAGCGCGCGTAATGCCACAGATTAAGTACCTAGTTGTAATACTTGAAACAATTGTGTTTATAAGTACGAAATATGTACTAGCAAACGTAGGTATGCAATTCATACAGTGGCTTGCACGCCAATACGTCATAATGGCGTGATTGGATCTCATTCATCATGACTCAAGGGAGTTAAGGGTAAAGGCATGCATTTAATAGCTGTAGTCTATCGTGAATTCATGACAAACAAATGAATGTGTCGGCAACACATTAGCTATACATATTTGTGGCAAAGTAGCACCTATTGCAATGAAATTAAGATATCCCAGTGAATTACTATGTGTTTGTTAATATTCTACATAATTAAAATTATAATTTGCATACGAATCCATTAAAATTCTTAACTCTGCGAGAGGTCATTCGCAAAATGTGACTGAAAGTTTAGGGTTATCTCTCTAGTGAGAAATAAGGAATGTTTTAAAATAAAAGAACATCCTATCAAGTTAAGAAAACGGTTCACAGATAGGATTTTAACACAGAACATAGAAATTTCTTTTATGATCTGTGGGATTTAAATAGCAACACTGAAGTTTGAATTCAAAATTTCCTAAAATCGGGAATAGAAACCAAATTCTAAGAGTATCCAAATTTTATAAAAATATGTATTCTGGAGTATTCGTATAACTTGTTGAGCTACCTAGTCTAACGACTGGTCGAAGCATAGACACATGTCACTTTTTTCAAATGGCAACTCTCGTTCATCACCACAGACAAGGAAAGTCGAACGAAAGCGCGGGAAACAGCTGTTTTTTGTGGACCCTCGGCTGCTACAGATACATTATGCATGAGGCACTTTCTGATCAAATGTACTGATACAAGTAAAAGCTAATGTAGTATGTGTACGAATTCCTCTATCTACCTATTCATTAAGTCGA